TCCTCCTCCTCTCCTCCTCCTCCTCCTCCTCCTCCTCCTCCTCCTCCTCCTCCTCCTCCTCCTCCTCCTCCTCCTCCCCCTGGAAGGCCGGAAGGAGGTCCCGGTGGCGGGGTCCCCCAAAAGGAGGGAACGGGTGTTCCCGTCGGTTCAAGCAAAAGCTGAGTTCCAGTACTGTTTCCACTTGCTGTTCACCGCGGCTGCGCCCTGGCAGCGCCCGCGGGTGCGCTCTGGCCCCGGCCAGGGCTGCTACCGCGGTTCCCGCTGCCCCGGCTGGCCGCTCCGGCCTGCTCTACGCGGAACTCTTTCACGTTTGTGCGCTTTGCCCCCTCCTCCCAACGCGCGGCCGCCCTCGTCTTGTTTCCTCCCTCTTGCACACCGGACCATGGCGGTCCGACGGCGCCCAGACGGTTCCGAACGGCCGCATGAAACCTGATTCATGGGTCGAAAGCCTCTGGGGGCACTTTCTGGTCTGTGGCCAGTTGGGTCCGACAAGCAGTCAAGCAAACGGCGGGACGCATCCGTTGAGAATTGACGCCTCCAGGGACACGACCGGCCCGATTCGATATCGATCTTGGGGCCAAGGCGCGCCAGCGGGTCCAGCGGAGGTCCCTCGACTGCGGCTCCCTGGGGGCAGCAGGGCGACCTCCCGAGGGATCAGCGCGCACCCAGAATGTCCGACCATGCGCTGGCCCGGCGTTTACCTCCGCGTCGCCCAGTAGGCGTGCCCACAAGGCACGGTCAGGAATTTTGGCTTGGCGCGTCGCGGTGCCGGTTCTGGCCTGCCACGCTTCGGCGCGACACGCTATCCACGCCCTAGTCCCCGAGCCCCTAGCTTCAGCGCTTCGAGCATGTGCCAGCCTACCGCCACGCGGAGCGGAGCGGCACGCCATCCGCGTGCAAGGCACAGCGTGTCGCTGGAGCCGCCGCCGCGACACGCTAAGCAACAGCTCCTGACCGTAAGCGGGCCCAGGCCCAAGCGGCAGCGCGCAGCAGCACGCATTGGTGGCGCGCGCGGGGGACAGGGCGAGAGGATCTGGGCCCTCTGGGAGGGGCCGAAGGGAGGGCGAAGGGAAGGGGCGAGGGCGAGGGAAAGAGATGGGAGGGCGAGGGGGCGAGGGGAGGGGGCGAGGGGAAGGCGAGGGCGAGGGGAGGGGCGAGGGCGAGGGGCGAGGGGCGAGAGGCGGGGCGAAGGCAGGGGGTCCTCGAAGAAGCCCCCCCCTGCCTTCCAGGAAGCCTATCTGAGCTCAGAAGCGCAGCGCCGTCTTCACAGGCCGCCGCCCTCGATCAAGGGGCAACGATCGGGGGGGGATCGTCGTCGTCGTCGTCGTCGTCGTCGTCGTCGTCGTCGTCGTCGTCGTCGTCGTCGATAGGGGGCCTGATGGCCTGACCTTGCCCAGGAATATGCGGCTTCGCTGTCGGGGGCCTATCGCCGATCTATCGGCGATGTATCGCCGATGCCAGCTCGCTGTGTCCCCCCCTTCCGCCAGTCCCCCCTCTGTCGTTCCCCCCCCCACTCGCCCACCCCGTTCTTGCCCCCACTCCCTCCCAGGGTCCATCCTGGTTGCTGTTCCGAGCAGCTTCCCTGCAGCTTCCAGAGGAGGAGGAGAAGGAGGAGGAGGAGGAGGACGAGACGAGGCGGGGAGGAGGAGGAGGAGGAGGAGGAGGAGGAGGAGGAACATGAAAAGGAAAAGGAAAGGCGGAGGAGGAGGAGGAGGAGGAGGATGAGGAGGAGGAGGAGGAGGATGGAGGAGGGAGGAGGGGAGGAGGAGGAGGAGGAGGAGGAGGAGGAGGTGGAGGAGGAGGGGAAGAGGGAGGAGGAGGAGGAGGAGGAGGAGCAGCAGCAGGAGCAGGAGCAGGAGGCAGAGCAGCAGGAGAGGAGGAGCAGGAGCAGGAGGAGGAGGAGGAGGAGAGGAGGAGAGGAGGAGGAGAGGAGGAGGAGGAGGAGGAGGAGGGAGGAGGAGGAGGAGGGAGGAGGAGGAGGAGGAGGAGGAGGAGGTGGAGGAGGAGGAGGAGGAGGAGGAGGGAGGAGGAGGAGGAGGAGGAGGAGGAGGAGGAGGAGGAGGAGGAGGAGGAGGAGGAGGGAGGAGGGGGAGGGGGAGGAGAAGGAGGAGGAGGAGGAGGAGGAGAGCAGGAGCAGAGGGCACGAACCAGAGCAGGATCAGGAGGGAAAGGAGGAGGATAGCAGTTGGAGCAGGAGGAGCAGGAGGAGGAGGAGGAGGAGGGAGGAGGAAGAGGAGGAGGAGGAGGAGGAGGAGGAGGAGGAGGGAGGAGGGAGAGGAGGAGGGGGAGGAGGAGGAGGAGGAGGAGGAGGAGGAGGAGGAGGGGAGAGGAGGAGGAGGAGAGGAGGAGGGGGGAGGAGGAGGAGGATGTGGAGGATGAGGAGGAGGTGGAGGAGGAGAAGGAGGAGGAGGAGGAGGAGCAGGAGGAGCAGGAGGAGGAGGAGGAGAAGGAGGAGGAGAAGGAGGAGGAGGGTTGGGCATCAGGCAACCGCACGCAGCAACGAGCAGCAGCGCGCAGAGATCTGGCCCCGCCCGCTGCCGCCCATGCCCAGGCGCTCGGCGTGGCATCGCTGCTGTTCGGCCTGGCACACGCGCGGGGCCTAGGGAGCGCAGGGAGGAAGGAGCACAGGGAGGAGGGAGGAGGAGGAGGAGGAGGAGGAGGAGCAGAAGGAGGAGGAGGATGAGGAGGTGGACGAGGAGGAGGAGGAGGAGGACGACGACGACGGTTTGGCGTAATTGGCGGGGGAAGGGAGGAGCAAAGAGGTTGGAGGAAAATGGAGGCAAGAGAAAGAAGGAAGGGGGATAGAGGTCACGAAGGTGGAGCAGCAGACATGCGAGGACTAGGGGAGGAGGATGAGAAGGAAGAGGAGGAGGAGGAGGAGGAGGAGGAGAAGGAGGAGGAGGGGAAGCAGCTGGAATAGGAAGAGCCCTCAGGACGCCTCTCCTCATCATGACCCTAGGTTTCGCAATGGTTTCTGCCGTTAGTGTTCTCCGTTCTTTTTCCAGCCCTCGATCCGACAAGATGGTGGTCGGTCATCTCTCCCTCCCGTCGCTCTATTCGTCGCGGCCCTGGAGAAGCCGGCATCGACGGCAGAAAGCGGAACTAAGCGAGGTAGGAGGAAGGCGTGGATGGGGCAGGAAGAGCGAGGGAGGGAGGGAGGAGAAGCGACGAAGGAGGCACCAGGAGGGAGGCACATCGCGGGGGAGAGGACGGAAGAGGAGGTTGCCTCTCTTGAGAGCTGACGGCAGTGCACAGGTCTGGGCGTAACTGGTGCGAAAAGGGAGGACCAAAAAAGGTTGGGAGGAGGGAGGAGATGGGAGACACACAAGGAGGGGAGATGAGGGTGAAGGAGGTGGAGCAGCCGGCGTGCGAGGACGAGGGAAGAAGGAGGGAAAGGATGAGGAGGAGGACGACGACGACGACGACGGCCGCAGCGACGACGAAGAGGACGACGAGGACGACGAGGACGAGGACGACGCCAAAGACGAGGAGGACGACGACGACGACGACGACGACGACGACGACGACGACGACGACGACGACGACGACGACGGTGACGAGGACGACGACGACGAAGGGGACGACGACAGCGGCGGAGGCGTCGGCGGCGGCGAAGAGTGCGAGGACGACGAGTACTGGAAAGGAAAAAGAATAGCAGAATGAGGTGACTGAGGACCCCGATGACGACGACGACAACGACGACGACGACGACGGCGGGGACGGGGACGGGGACGGGGACGATGAGGAAGGAAGGAGGAAATGGAGGCAGAGGAGGCGGAGTTACGACGACGACGACGACGACGACGACGACGACGACGACGACGGCAAAGCCGATGACGAAGAGGACGAGGGTAAGGACGAGGACGACGATGGAGAGAAGGGGAAAGGGAGGAGCAGGAGGAGGAGGAGGAGGAGGAGGAGGAGGAGGAGGAGGAAGGGAAAGGAGATGAAAGTAAGTGCTGGAGGAGGAAGGGGGCGAGAAAGGGAGAAGGTCAGGGAGGAGCAGGAGGAGGAGATGGAGGGGGAGCAGGAGGAGCAGGAGGAGCAGGAGGAGCGCAAGGAGCAGGAGGAGCAGGAGGAGCAGGAGGAGCAGGAGGAGGAGGAGGAGGAGGAGGAGGAGGAGGAGAGGAAAGAGGAGGAGGAGGAGGAGGAGGAGGACGACGAGGAGGAGGAGGGTGAGGACGCTGATGACGCGGGCGATCTCTTTCCGCCCTTAGCCGCGCGCCCTGACCAAGAGAGGTGAACCGCTCAAAAATCCCAGGACCACGCCAAACCAAGAAGTCCCCCACGGGCCACGCCGAGCCCCGATGGGCCCAGCCCGACCGGCCCAGCGGGCGAAAGCGAGGGCCGCCAGGGGCGGAACAAAAACGCCGGGGAGCCCCACGAGAGCCCCAGGGAGCCACGCGGGCGGCTCCCCCACACACCCACGGGCGCGAAGGTCTCAGCCCTTGTAAAAGTCTTGTCGCAATCCTGCAGCGCACCGAGGAGGTGACGCCCTGTGTCCTTCGCGCGGCTCCCCATCGCTGGTGTCGAAGCTACCGATGGCGCTCATGAGCACGGTGACCGCCGTTTTGAGCCCCTCGTGGCCACCGGCAACGATGGCGTCGTACTTGATGATCCTCTCATCTGGCTCCGCGCTGTCCTCCCCCCCCCCCTCTGGAAGAGGCGGAATTCGGACATAGCCAGGACCCCAGGTAAGGGGACCCAGTTGGTAGTAGGGCCCCGGAGCCCCTAAATCGGCCAGAATCACTACATCAGGTCTTCCATAGCTGGTTTCTTTTTTCGGGTGACGGCCGTTCCGGTGAGTGGAACGGGGCGGGAGGGGGGCGTCCCCCAGTACACATCACGAAACCAGGTCCCACTAAACCCAGTTCTGCCAACGCCTGATTGGTGTTCCTCTCCTCTGGCTCCGCGCTGCCCCCACCCCCACTCTGGAAGAGGCGGAATGGTGGCCAGCGGGCCATCCCTGGGCCCCGTAGCGGCGAGAGCGCCAGCGGCTCGGGTACCTGTCGCCGTCCTCATCCAGGCAGCTATCCGAGCCAGGTGGGCTCTCGGAGACCAGGTCGCCCATGGAGCAGGTGTCACCTAGGAGGAGGAGGAGCAGGAGGAGGAGGAGGAGGAGGAGTAGGAGGAGGAGGAGGAGGAGGAGGAGAATGGAGGAGGACGAGGAGGAGGAGGAGGAGGAGCAGGAGGAGGAGGAGGAACGAGAAAGAGGAGGAGGAGGAGGAGGAGGAGGAGAATGGAGGAGGACGAGGAGGGAGGAGGAGGAGGAGGAGGAGGAGGGAGAAGGTGGAGGAGGAGGAGGAGGAGGAGGAGAGGAGGAGGAGGAACGGAGGAGGAGGAGGAGGAGGAGGAGGAGGAGGAGGAGGAGGAGGAGGAGGACGGCAAATCCTGCGGGGGGGCGCATCCGCGGGGATCTGCCCCGACCTCGCCGCGCCCTCGGGGAAGCCCAGAGGAGCGGAGAGCGCACGTCATGCTCACCATGCTCTGCGGGATGGAGGAGGGGGAGGGCGAGGGAAAGTTGGAGAATCGAGGACCCTGGAGGCCGCCGGGCGCGTGGGCGCTGGCGGAGGCAGCGACGCCGACTTGACGGATGGTGTGGTGGTGCGGCGAATGCCCGATTGGAGCTTCGCGGAATGGACCGGCGGAGCGCCAGCATGCCGTTGGCAAAGCAGGAGGGTCGTCATCTGATGCCGCCACCCTATCATCACCATGGCCGTATGTGTTGGGCTGCCTTGGCGTGGCCCTGGGGCTCCGTCGAGGCCACGGCTGGGTCCGCCTCGACATGCTGGCCAGAACCCACCCACGGACAGGTCCTGGGGTCGATGTTGACTGCCGGACCGGGTCCTCTCCTCCTCCTCCTCCTCCTCCTCCTCCTCCTCCTCCTCCTCCTCCTCCTCCTCCTCCTCATTCTCCTCCTCCTTTTCCGCCTCCTCCTCCTCCTAGTACTCCATTCCATAACTCCTCCCTGTCGCACCTCGAGGCCGGAAGAAAGGGCGGGCTGGGCGATTCGCTTGAGATTTCCTCACTACTTATGACACTGATGCTTAAAATTGGCCACAGCTTCACAGATGGAGGGCGGGTGGTTTTCAAAATGTGCGCGCACATTCGTTTTGAAAAATGCGAGAGCTTCACGGGTTAATGGCGGGCGGTGTTCAAAATGTGGTTCTCGCCGTAGTGCCACGCAGATTTGTTAAAGATACCAGAGTTACATGTGGTTCTCGCCTTAGCGCCAGGAGCATTGTTTTAAGAGTTTACAGGAGACCCACGGATTGAGATCGGCTCGTTTTCAAAATGTGGCTCTCGCTTGGGCGCCGCGCGCGCTCATGTTTAACAGTTCTAAGAGTTTCGCAGATTCCCGTGGTTAGCGTAACAGAAATGGCGGTTTGGAATGACTCAGGGTTGCGAGGGTGCAACAGGTACGTTGGTTCGGGGTGTTGAAGTCCAAGGAATGGCGTTCTGGCACGATTCAGGATCGTCAACGCGCAACAGTCAGGTTAATCCGTGGCGATGAAGTCTCGAGAATGATGCCACCGACATGCTTCAGGGTCTTCAAACGGCTATCTCCCAACGAGGCAGTTCTCTCAGTGGAAATGAGCCCTTGTAGGGGCCTAGATGAAGAGGGAGCTCGGAGGGAGGGTTCATTATCCTCCTGTTGTCCTGTCTTCTCCTCCTGCTCCTCCTCCTTTTTCTCCTCCTCCTCCTCCTCATCATCATCATCATCATCAGCATCATCATCACGTGGCCCCTTCCTGCTCATCATCCTGCCGCTCCTCATGCCCCTCATCCTGCGCCTCCTCTTCCTCGAATGAGAATGAGGTGGAGGGTGGGAGGAAGAAAGAGAGGGACGGTGGGAGGAGGAGACGGGAAGAAGGGGGCGGGAGGGAGAAGAGAAGAAAGGAGTGGAGTGGAACCCATCGCGAGTGCGATCCTGACTAAGCCCCGACCTCATAGCACACCCTCGAACGCCAGACCTGCGCCAGCCTGCCTCAGGACCTTGGGATATGAAGCCCACGCTGTCCTGTGAGAACTCCCTTGCCATGTGCCGAAAGTGGCCTGCCGTAACCATACACAACACTGCGCATGACAGTACAGAAGAAAATCAAATACCGTTCAAAGCTGCAGAATACACGTTCACATACCCTTCATCTCACATTTGCTTGCACTCCTGCTGCTCCCTACTTCGGGTGGCGTCAGCCCAATCTATCACAGCCGAGCCGCTGGGCAGGAAAGAAGCGGCCTGTCCTCCCCGTAGAGTCTCAGCATCTCGTACAAGTCGCGCTCTAGTAACACTGTTCTCCCAATCGTTGAGCTCAGAACTCTCTCCCCCCGTGTCGAACGCCCTGGTCGCAGCACTGTTGCTGATCACGTCGGGCTGCAACTTCGCCCCCGACTTCTCGCACACACTGTGAACAGGATGGTGACTGGGGGTGGAGGCCGACGACCATTTCGCTTCCAACCACGCCTTGGCGATGCACGCTCGGGCGGCCCACCACACTGCTGAATTCGATGATCCACCAGGTCGCAGGGCAGCAGCGTCGGCCACGGCGGCGGACGGCGAGACGACGTTGGCGTCGGACTCGTTCTCCTCGAGCTCGGCGTCCAGCCGAATGGGAAACGTTCCCAAGCCCCCAGGGCGAGTGCGCCCCCTGGGGTCGACGCGGGCAGGAGACGGGGGAATGGCATTCGCCCCCGTCCCCCCCCAGCCCCCCATGTAAGAGGCCCCATGGGGTGGGCACTGGCCTGCAGCAGTCTGCGCGTCCAGCGACGCTCCCGCGGCCCCTGCAGCAGGGCAGTGATCCCCCGTAGGGGCCCTCACGTCGGCGCCCGTCGCCTCTGCAGCAGCAGCGCCCGCGGCGCCCTCGGCTGGGCAGTCATCCCCCGTAGGGGCCCTCTGGGCTGCGAGCCCTTCCGCCGCCGCTCCGTGCACCTGGCCGCCGACCACCGCGACCGCGCCTGAGGAGAACACCGTGGTCCCGCAGGTGCAGACGAGGCCCTTCGGAATGGGCACGAAGGCGGGGGCTGACGAGCGCATGCGGGAGCAACCAGCTGCCGCCAGCTCCGTCGGCGCGTCCACCTCTGCCTCATCGGCCTCAGCCGCCTGCCGACGCGCCACGCGAGCCTCGATCCTCGGGCCGCGTTCCAGCTGGCGCAGCACCTGGACCGAAGCCGTCGCCAGGCGAGCGCCAGGAGCATCGGCGTGCAACGCGACGTTGCGCCTGAGCTTCTCCTCACCGCTTGGCGACCTCCCTTCCAACCACGCACGGAGGGCAGGCGCCAATGCGAGCACGCGCTCCGCCAGCTCGGGGTGGCCGAAGATCTCCGCGAGCTCCCGCTGGACCTCCTTCAGCGCCGCGAGCTGGCCCGCATAGTTCTTGACGGCGGCGTCGGCGGATGCCATCGCCGCACGCCGCGCGGCTCCACGCTCCGCGCGCGAACGCCGCTCTCCAGTTGAAAGATCGCCATGCAGCGGCGACCCTGCCCGTGCCATTCTCAAGCCTGTTCAAACCTTGCAGCGCCACACTCCGGACCGGCCATGCGCGGGAGAAATGGCGACCAAGGGGTTTGAGGCTGGCTTGAGCCAAAATGGCTACGGAGAGAAGAGAAGAAAGGGGGAAGGGGGGGACGGGGGAGGAAAGAAGGAGAACAAAGGGGCCCAGGGGGGGGGGGGGGGGGAAGAGCGGAGGGACCGTGGACGGAGGCGGAGGGGCGCGGGGGCATGCGACAGGGGCAGAGGGAGGGAGAGGAGGGAAACCAGGCGAGGGCGAGAGGCCAGGCCTCCGTCGAGGCCAGCGTGCCACCGCCTAACGCCTAAGCCCAGGCGCCGCCGACGAGGCACGGGGAGAAGCCTTCCTGCTCGTGTTGTCGGCGCTGTCTTCCTACTCCCGCTCCTCCTGCTTCTTCCTCCTCTCTCCCCATTCCTCTCTCTTTCACTCCCCGCCCTCCTCATCACCCCTCTCTCTAACATGCTCCTCACTCCTCCTCACTTCACCGCCTCACTCCTCATCCTCCTGCTGCCTGCTTCTCCTCTGCTCCTCCTCCTCCTCCTCCTCCTCCTCCTCCTCCTCCTCCTCCTCCTCCTCCTCCTCCCCTCTGTTGTTTGTTTGTCGGCTAGCTTTTGCCGCCCCTGTTGGGGTCCGCGGCCTGTCGCACTTTTATTTTCCTGCCCGTGTGTACGCGCGGCCTCGCGTCCACGGTGCCAGGGCGCAGCGGCGGGGGGTGCCCCGTTGCTGTGCGCCGCGCAGCGGCCAAGCGCCCGGCCGGCGGTCCGCCAAGCCGCCACACGTAGCCACGTGCCTGCACGTCGCCTTCTGTGCCCGGGCCTCTTTCAGTACGCCGTCCGAGAGGCGAGATCTTCGCACTCCGTCGGCCGTCCGTAGCTTCAGTCGCATTGCGCCGGGAGAGAGGCGTTTCGCCTTCTCTCGTTCTATAGTGGAGCCGACTGCCCCTAAGTGTTTGAGCCGGGTTGCCGCACTGCAGTGCGCCTCGGGGACGGACCCGTGGTCCGCCAGATTGTCCGATCTCTCTCTCTCTCTCTCTCTCTCTCTCTCTCTCTCTCTCTCTCTCTCTCTCTCTCTCTCGCTCTCTCTCTCTCTCTCTCTCTCTCTCTCTCTCCTCCTTCCCTGTATAGGAATATACGTAGACATGTAGGCATGCATGCGCACGCTCCTGCACATCTACGCCACTGTATACACACATGTACAGAGGTGCAGCTATGTGTGCGTACGCGCGTCCCACACCGGCGAGCTGCAGCGTTTGGCCCGACCTACGGGCGGCCCGCGTGGCGCAGGCCCGGGCGGCGCGGTGCGCCCGCGGGGCGGCCATGGCCTCCGCGGAGCGCCCCGCGCCCGAGCGGGGCCCCGGGCCGGTGCGCACCGGCGCCGGCGGCCGCGTCGCGGAGCACCCCGCGGCCCCCCCCGGGAGGAGAGAGCGCAGCACGGGCAGGAGGGCAGGAGGATGGCCTCCTCCTCCTCCTGCTCCTGCTGCGCCTCCTCCTCCTCGCTATTGCACCTCCTCCTCCTCCTCCTCCTCCTCCTCCTCCTCCTCCTCCTCCTCTTCCTCCTCCCCCTCCACTTCATCCTCCTCCTATTGCTCCTCCTCCTCTTGCTCCTCCTCCTCCTCCTCCTCCTCCTCCTCCTCCTCCTTCTCATTATCCTCCTCTCCCTCCTCCTCCTCCTCCTCCTCCTCCTCCTCCTCCTTCTCCTCCTCTTCCTCCTCTGGTTTCCGCCTCCTCCTCCTCTTCCTCTGGTATCCTTTTCCTCCTCCTCCTCCTCCTCCTCCTCCTCGTCCTCCCTTACTCCATCTTAGTGATCCTCCTCATGATCATCCTGTTCCTCCTCATCAGCATCGTGATCATCAGCATCAGCATCAGCATCAGCATCAGCATCAGCATCATCATCATCATCATCATCATCATCAGCATCATCATCATCATCATCATCATCATCATCATCATCATCATCATCGGCATCATCATCGTCATCATCACCATCATCATCATCAGCATCAGCAGCATCAGCATCATCACGATCAGCATAATCATGCCACCCAGTCTCCTCCTCCTCTTCCTCCTTTTTCTCCTACTCCTCCTCCTCATCATCCTCATCCTCATCCTCATTCTCATCCTCATCCTCCTCACCCCGTCCGGAGCTGTTCCTCTCATGGTGTGGGGAGGAAGCAACAAAGATCATGTGCGTCGAAACTGCAGGCGCGCGCACACACACACACACACACGCACACACACGCGCGCGCGCGCGCGCGCGAATTGCATGGTCGCGCGACGGGCCCTTCCAGGTCCAGAGCCTGGAGCCCCCAGAGCGTCGCGCGGCGGTGGTGGCGCTGGCGGAGGCCCTGTACGCGCCCGCGCCGGACGGGGGTGCGGAGCGGGAGGACGGCGAGGGGCTCTTCGACAGCCCGAGCGCCCTGATCAGGTGCTCGCATTGATCAAGCTCTTGTCCCCTCCCCCCCTGAAAGACAAGCCTGTTGTCTGTAAGTGTGGACATACATACGTACGTGTGCATACGTATTTGATGCTGTATATATATATATATACACCCTAAGCAGTGCCTGCACTCAGGGGGTTCTAAGGTAACTGAGCCTGAGTGGCGGTCGAGCCGGCTGGTTGCCGCTCGTCGTCGCCCGTCGCCGCCGCCGTCGCCGCTGGCATTTGGGCCTGAGTGGCAGTCCATCTGGCTCGTTGCCGCCTGTCGCCGCCGACGTCGCCGCTGGTACTTGAGCCCCAGCCCGCCGGCTCGCCGCCGCCCGTCGCCGCCGTCGCCGCTGGACCGCTTCGCATTGCAACCGCATTGCGTTGCATTGTTGCCCATGGCTTTGCTTTGGTTGGCATTGCGTTGCATTGCATCGCATCGCATTGCATCGCATCGCATTGCTCTGCATTGCTTCGCATTGCTCGGCAATGCTTGGCAGTGCTGTGCATTGTGTTGCATTGCTTTGCACTGCGTTGCATGCCTTTGTATTACTTTGCATTGATTTGCATTGCTGTGCATCGCCTCGCATCGCCCTGCACTTTGCATTGCCTGGTGTTCCTTGGCATTGCTCGACGTGACATCGCGTTGCGCTGCTCTGCGACACATCGATTGCATCACACGGCCTGCACCGCCCTGGTCGCACCACACTGGTTGCACCGCATGGCTTGCACCGCACAGACGGCAAGGAATCGCTGCTTGGGGTCCACGCTGGCTGCCCTGCGCGTGCACGCGGGCATTCCTCCCAGCGTCCGGGCCTCCGAGTTCTCGGTAGCCGCTCGTGGCCCCCGCCGTGAATTCTGTACTGCTGCTCCGTGGTCCTCTGCCGCCCAGGTGGCACCTTTTTCTGGCTCCGGGAGGCTCCCCGTGAGGTCCGCCTCGACATCTCGGCCAGGGCGCAGCCCGCCTGGGTGGCAACTCGTGTGGCTCCGGGAGGCTCCTCGCGAGATCCGCCTCGACATGTCGACCAGGGCGCAGCCCCCGGAGAGGCTTCTGGGGATCCCTGGAGGGGGCGACGTCTTGGGGGGGGGGGCAGCTCTGTCCTGGAGCGAAGGGGTCCTGAAGTTGTGTTCGCTGTTTGTGTGGGTCCCCGGTGTCCCCCCCTCTCTGTTAATTCAAGCTTCGCGCGGCCCGCTTAGCTTCGACCGGAAGAGATGCGCTCTCGACCCGCGAACCAAAAAGTGTGGGTCCCCGGGACTGTCAGGCAGCGACTCCAGGAAGAGGCGCCAGTCCCCCGGGCAAGGCCCATGAGGGCCCACTTCCCCCAGGACGCTCCCTCGACATCGGGCGCCCCCGCGCACCGCGGAGCGGAGCTCTCGACCCCCCCAGCGTGCGGCGCTGTGCCTCGAGCCGCAGGGCTCCGAGGAGGCCCACGACGTGCTGTCCCGGCGCCCTCTGGTTGTTTCGCGTTTGTAGAGTTATTTGGGGCGCAAGTACCCATCGGAAATTGCATATTGCCGTCAAGAAAAAGTTATCTGGGCCCCAAATATATCTGCCTGGCGGAGCCCACCCCTGCCAAGAGGTACCTCCGGGCGCGCAAGTGGCAGCTCGACGCCGCCGAGGCCATGATCCGGGCCACGGCGCGGTGGCGGAGGGAGTTCGGCCACGCCGGCATCCGCCACGGCGCGCCCGGGGAGGACCTCCGGGCGCAGAACGCCACGGGCAAGCTGTACGTGCGGGGCTTCGACAGGCACCGCGAGCGGCAAGCGCGTCTCATATACCCACCCACGCCCTCGGGGCCCGGAAGCCGAGGCGCGGCCCCCAGTGTCGGGCGTTGCGCGATGGTCGACTACACGTAAGAGTGACCCTTCGCCGGAGTGACCTTTGGTGCGGGCTCATCGGGCTCCCCCCGATCGCCGTACACGATGCGATATAAGTGGGTCACGCCCTTGGGTTTGGCTCCCTCACGCCCCCAAAAGCTGCGCACCAAAGGTCACTCTTACCCAGGGTCACTCTTACGTCTAGCCGAGATGGGGGGGGCGATCGAGGGGGGGGGGAGGAAGGTCCGCCTTTTTTGCGCACCTCGGGGGGCCCGAGGGGGGCCCAGCAAGGGGGCACCAAAGGTGCAAGCCTCTTCGCCCCCCCCCCCCCCTTCACCGCCCCTCTACGAGCCAGGGCTGGACCTGAACGGAACTTTGGCGACTTCGCGGGCCGTTTTCGTTCCGATTTCGTTGTGCGGTGAAGGCGGATCGAAGACAAAAGCGAGGGAAAACGAAAACAAAACGAAAACGCAAACCACCGTTCAGGTTCAGCCCAGCTACAAACCAACATCCAGCCATGGATGCGTTCTGCGCCAGGTAAACCGCGCAAGGCCGCCTTTGGGGTCGCGGCCAGGGAGAGTCGGGGCAGCGAGGCCGATATATGGGCATGCTTTCCGCATGCGCAGGCAGGGCCGGCCCACGCTCTACATCAAGACGAGGCACGAGACCTCCGAGGAGCTCGGAGCGCAGCGGCATCAACAGTCAAGCAGTGGCGAAGTGTCCTGGCTCGCCTATAGGCCTACCAAAGAATGTTCTAAGAACCTCTTGTGGTCCACACGAAGTGTTCTCAGAACATGTTTTGGCTGCGACTGTCTTGTTTTAACACATCGGGCTTCTGTTCTTAAAACACGGTTCTTGATGTTAGAACATATATGGTGGGTTCTGAGAAGATTTCGTGGTAGGCTTACAGGAGTGCCGGGAGGGCCGGTTCCTGCTCGAGAACAGCGGCATCAACAGCGGACGTTTCCCGACATCCCTCGTCGAAATTGAACGCAAGTTTTAGCCGCGACCTGGCGGCGCCCCCCGACCCCCAATTCCAATGTTCACGCCGACACCGGCGACTTCGAGATTTTCTGCGGACCCCGCCGGCCGCGATGCGCCTGTCGATGAACATTGAGATTTGGGGGCGACGGGGGTGGAAGAAACTTGCGTTCAATTTCGGCCAGGGTTGGAGGTCCGCGTGGCCGTCGTGAGTCGGCGCTGGACCCCCCTCCCCACGCCCGCGGCGGCGCGCGCGCTCCCTTCGCGCGCACGGGGGGAAGATGATCTTACGAGGGGGGCCCGGCGCCGACGCGGGAAGCCCGCGCGGGCCAGCGACAGTTTGTGATGTTTGGACACGCGGGTGCTGGCCAACGTTTCGGCCGAGGTAGACCCCAGGTGGTCGTCGTCGTCGTCCTCCTCGTCCTCGTCCTCGTCGTCGTCCTCGTCGTCCTCGTCCTCGTTGTCGTCGTCGTCGTCGTCGTTCGTCGTCGTCGTCGTCGGCGGCGTCTCGGGGGAACGCGCGTCGATCTCGGCCAGGTCAGTGGGCCCACGAGCGGCCCTGAAGCCCGCGCGCTCCCCGCGCTCGCCTACGCGAACAGCCACCGACATCGAGAACTTGGGCCGCCCTAGGGCCGCGCCCATGCTCGGAAACTGGAACATGTACATGACCAGTGGCGGGCTGTTTTTCAATCCCAGGACTTTTTGATGGCCGGGGGCGACGTCGGGGTGGTGTGGTGTATATGTGTTGTTTCCGCTTCCCAGGGAACACCGAAGCATATATATATATATATATATATATATATATACACACATATATACACACACCAGGACCCCGTGTACAGTCACCAGGATTTGTTCCCTTGTGCAAAGTTCGGTGCAGGGCTGGAAAGAGCGTCGGTGTACAGAGTTCGGCTCCCTGCATGCATTGGCTCCTCCCCACAGAGGACCCCCCGAGCATCGTGCGCCACCTGGTCTACAACGTGGAGCGCGCCGTGGCCTGCCTGGAGCGGCTGGAGAGGGAGGGCGGCGGGCCCTGCGGCGCGGGCGCCGCAGGGGGGGGCAAGTTTGTGCTGTTGGTCGACTTCTCAAACTACTCCCTGAAGACCGGCGGCTAGCGAGGGGCGGAGGCGAAGCAGAAGGCCTTCTCAGAAGGCGGCGGGACTTCTCAGGAGCGCACTGGCTGCCTGAGGCTTTTTTTGCGTTTCCGGGAAGGCGCAGCAGACTACCCAGAAGGCCGGGGGACTTGCGAGCCTTCTGAGAAGGCCTTGTCCTTCGGATTTCCCCCCCTCGCTTGCCGCCGAGAAGAACATGATCCCGATGCCTGTCGCGAAGGAGGCGATCCTGATCCTGCAGGACCACTACCCAGAGAGGCTCGGCGCCGCGTTCCTCATCGAGGCTCCCTGGATGATGTCGGGTCTCTTCAGCGCCCTCACCCCCTTCCTCGACCCCGTGACCGTAGACAAGTTCCAGTTCGTCACGGAGTCGGGCGCCGAGAGGAGGGCGCGCATGGAGCGCTTCTTCGACCTGGCGGTGCTGGAGCCCGAGTTCGGGGGCACGGCCCACGCGCCCTTCGACTCGTGCACCTACCTCACCGCGCCCGCGCCTGGGGTGGACGTGTTCGGCCTCGAGTTCAACGAGCAGGCGCAGCTGCGCAGCACCCAGGGCGGCACTTGCCTGGCGGTGCCGGCACCAGCGTGGACCGCACCCGCGGCGACCCCCGCGCAGTCGTCGCGGCGGCCCAGCGCACCGGCTCCGCCTCCTCCGGCGGCGCCGTGCGTGCAGCCGCGGTGCCGCGAGGCCTACTGGGTTATGTGCAGCGACATGCGGGTGCTGGCGCTGGGGAGGAGGGAGCGGGCCGCGGTGCGCTCCCTCGCGAGGTCGCTGGCGGCCGCCGAGGGGGACGCCGAGGAGCCCGCGGGTCTGTTCGACGACGCTGGCGCGCTGATCCGCTACCTCGCCGCCAGCGGCTGGGACCTCGGCGCGGCGGAGGCGAGGATCCGGGCCAGCGCCCGGTGGCGGAAGGACTTCGGCTTCGCCGCCCAGCGGGCGGGCGCCTTCGACGAGGCCATCGCCCGCGAGAGCGCGGCCGGGAGCATGTACGTGCGCGGCTACGACAGGCGCGGGCGCCCCCTGCTGATCCTCCGGCTGGGCCGCCGGGGCGCCACCTGGTCGATGCGCCACCTGGTCTACTGCGTGGAGCGCGCCGTGGCGTGCCTCGACCGCCGCGAGGCGGAGGCGAGGGCCCGCTGCAGCTCGTACGGGGAGGCCGAGGCGGAGAGCAGGGCGGCGGGCGGCAGGCTGACCCTGCTGGTGGACTTTGGCGGGTACTCCAGCAGGAGCCGGCCGCCGCTGCAGCTGATCCTCGAGGCCGCGCGCGTGCTGCAGGATCACTATCGGCGGCGCCGGCGGCGAATCGCCGCCGCCCCCTGCCCGTGGGACACGGGCATGCAGCCAAGCGTCCGGCCGAAGCTTGGCCAAGCCGTTGTGGCACCCAATGGGGGAACACTGGGGGAGAAGAGGAGAGGACCAGTGCAAATAGAAGACGCATCAGCGATGTTGCTCCCTATAAGGAGTGAGATTCATTTCGGGAAGTGGCCCCTTAGAAGCCAATCGTAGAATCTTCAATCGCGCACAAGTGCAACTCTTGGGATTTCAACGCCGCAGATCAACTTGATTGTTGCGTCCTGACAACCCTAAACAATGCCAGAGCACTGTTCCTGGAAGTTCACACCGCGAATGACCACAACAGTTGAGTCCTGACGTTCCTGACCCGTGTCAGAACACCGTTCCTGGGACTTCGACCATACGAATCTTTGAAAGGGTTGAAACATGTTGCCCGCGTGTCTTGGGAACTTCTGTCGATTCAAAGGGTGTTTTCCGTTTTCGTCTCGTTTTTGTATTCCTTCGTTTCGCCGTCGTCCCGCCACCGCGCCTGCGGTGTAGGCGAGAGGCCTCTTGGATGCTTGTGGGGATCTCTCTTGGGAGGTCTCTCGGGAGCCTTGGGAGGTGGTTTTGGGTGTGTCTCAGGGCCTTCTCGGGCCTCTCGGGGCCCCCCGCGGCATGATTTGGCCCTCTTGGGGCCCTGCTGGGGCTTCTGGAAGGTCCCTTGGGCACGAAGCTGCGTGCTGCAGGCACGGGGGCGGATCCCGAGAGGCTGGGCAGCGCGTACCTGCTGCACCCGCCCGTGAAGGTGTCCGCGCTGTGGAAGGCGGTCCGGCGCACGCTGGCGCCCGAAACCAGCGAGAAGATCGTGATGGTGACGGGCCCGTCCTGCCACGAGGAGCTGCTCCTCCTCCTCCTCCTCCTCCTCCTCTTCCTCCTCCTCCTCCTCCTCCTCCTCCTCCTCCTCTTCCTCCTCCTCCTCGTCGTCCTCCTCCTCCTAATCCGCCGCCCTCTTCCACCGCTTTCCTCCTTTTCCTCTTCCCTCCTGATCCTCCTCCTCCTCATCCTCCTCCCCCTCCACCTCCTCCTGCTCCTCCTCCTCTTCTTCCTCCTCCTCCTCCTCCGACACGTCCTCCTCCTCGTCCTCGTCCTCTTCGTCCTTCTCCTCATTCTCCTCCTCCTCCTCCTCATGATCCGCCACCCTCTTCCACCGCGTTCCTCCTCCTTCTCCTCCTCCTCATCCTCCTCCTCCTCCACGTTCTCCTCCTCCTCCTTCTATTCCTCCTCCTCCTCCTTCTCCTCCTCCTCCCTCCGCTGGCCCTCCCCCCTCCAACCTTTTCCGTTTCCTGATCCTCTTCTTCATCCCCCGTCTTGCCACGAGGAGCTGCTGACGACGACCTTGGACAGGAAAACATTGGAAAGGCCCCCTGGGGTGGCCAGATCGACGCCCCCCCCCTCAGGTCCGGGCGGTGCATTGTTTCGCAGCGGGCGATTTTGCCTCGTTTCGGGCCCCGGGACCTCGCATATCGACCCGGCTCCACAAGTACCGCAGAAAGAGTTGGGATCCAGGGCTTTGCTCGTGATGTTCGACGATGCTGCCATCTCTTGCAACGTCAGATCTGCTTGGCACCGCTCGGACGCGTACAGTTCTTCTCGGCGGGGGTCATCGAGGAGCAGCCCGGACCATCCTGCGGACAGAACACGCGCACGAAGCCGACAAAAAAATGCACCAGGCATGGACGCCCGAGCGGCGGCGAGCCTGCGCGCTCCTGGGAGGCCACGCACCACACGCACGGGCACCACACTGCAGAGAGAGCTCCCCGGCGCGGATAGGTCTCCCGAGCCGGCGCGGCACCCCCCCTGCCTGCGCCTCCCCCGCGGTTGGCCCCGCGCGCGCGGAGCGCGCTGTATAGGGGCGCGCCGCCCCCAGGGGGGCGGCGGGGAGAGGGGGCCACCTGCGAATCCCAACCCCTGCCCCTCATGATTTCTGAGGGGGAGGGTGGGGTTCACTTCGCTCGATAGCTCCAGAGGGGGCCACCTGCGAGCCCTGCCCCTACCCGCCCTCACGAGTTCTGATGGGGGAGGGTGGGGTTCACTTCGCTCGGGAGCTCCAGAGGGGGCCACCTGCGAGCCCTGCCCCTACCCGCCCTCACGAGTTCTGAGGGGGAGGGGGGGGTCACTTCGCTCGGGAGCTCTCCCGAGCGAGTTCGGAGTTTCTGCTCTGGCTGTGTTGACGCGAGTGGTGGGTGGGTGACGACCTTGGCCGAATCTTTTGTTCGGAATGTGGCAGGGGAGGGGGATTCCGAGGGGGAGAGCTCGGACCTCCCCCTCCTCGGAACTCGTGGGGGGTATAGGGCTAGGGCTCGCAGGTGGCCACACCTAGGGGAGAGGGGGCCCCGGCGCCGCCCCGGGAGACCCCCGCAGAGCTCTCCGCGGGGCCCGCTCGGCCCGCAGAGTGGGGAGAGGGGCAGCCTTCCCTTAAGGGTACCCCAGATTTCGTACTTAAAGGGAGGGGGTCACAATCCTCCCAGACAAGAAGTTTTAGACCCCCCCAGACTCTCCATGAAAGGGCGGCCCTTTGCCCAGACCCCCCCGAACCCTCCAAGACAGCTCAAGTTAGACCCTCCCCGAATGTGACCCCCCACTTTGTTATGGAATCCGGAGTACCCTTGCCGTCTTGCGCCCTTCGGCCCCTCCTCAGCGGCTCTCGCTGGCCAGCCTCGTTGGAACGACGTCGACGTGGCCCTGCAGGGCCCGTGCGTCCTTCCCGCGCATCCCCTTCTTGTGCGGGTTGACTGTAGTGCTGATGCCGTCTTGGGGATATTCGAGGCGGGGGACCTTTGGGGACGTCGGCGGGCGGCGGATATGGATATATACATATACAACATATTTCCATGTCCACCGCCCGCCGGGGTCCCAGGACGTCGGTTCCACAGGCGGTGGATATGGGTATACCCCCGCCTCGCATTGTGTGTATTCCAGTGGTCGTTTCATGCAGCGGGTCAACGTCTGATGGCCCTGGGGCCCGCAGACGGCCCCCCGATGCCGCAGCCTACGAACACAACAATGGCGGGGCCGCGCATGCCAAGAGCAGCCCGCCCGACTCCAGGTCCCTGGGCGGCGAGAACGACGCCCCCTTCGACTCCCAGATCTTCGTGTCCGAGGCAGCACGGCGACGGGCGAACGCCAAGCCAATGTGCCTTGGAGGCTGCGGCCTCCGCGCCATGCCCTGGAGGGGCACGGGCGGGCCCACCGGTGGTCAAAAGTATGGGGGATCGACTGCAGAAGTGATTTGCCCCAGAGTCGATTTGTGCGTTGAGCCTACCCAGGACATACGCAAACTGCTCCGTGTGGAGCATTCTGCGCCTTCGTTCGCAGATTCTACGGAACTCCAATCTGGGGGTGAGATTTGGAGAAACCAACACATGCCGATACCGCTACCCCCCGGACCTCTCCCGGGTGCGTTCGGACCGGGACTCCGATGCGAATCCAGCGGTGGCGACGAGGGTTCCCCAGGAGGCCCAAAAAGGAGAAACATGGGCGAAGGGGGTAGAGGTAATTATGGGTACCTCTTCCTGCTCCGAAGATCCATTCCGTAGTCGATCCCCGATGCGAAGCGGAGCGCGAACGACTCCCGCGCTCGTCCGTACCCTCCCTCCGTGCCTCAGGGGGTCTGCGGCAGCGTGTACGGCACCGAGTTCGACGAGCAGCTGGCGGTGCGCGGCGGCGCCGCGCGCGGCGCGCCGCCGCCGCGCCCTGCGCCGGGGCCTGGCGCCGAGGCCTGCGCCGGCCGCCAAGGGAGCCACGGGCTCCTGTTCGATACCACCTCCAGCATCTCGGGTCGGGCGAAGGGCGGCGGTCGGGTGCTGATAGAATTCTTTAAATAAAGATGAACGGCGCCAAAAAATACACACACACACACACAACAGCAACAACAACAATAAAAACAACAACGACAACAACGACAACGACAACGACAACAACAACAACAACAACAACAACAACAACAACAACCATTTTAAGGCTGTACGCTCTTACTTGCCCGCGAGTCATTCAACACGTATACCCTACACCCTCGATACCCGCCCTCTTCGTCTTCGATCACACCCCTTTCGGGGGGATTATTTCTCTTTGCTGGGGCCGGCGGGCTTAGACGTACGGGCAAACCGGAACGGGCGGACAATCCTTCGGGGGCGTACATCTCTCTGCCCGCCATTGGAATTGGCGCGGGCCCTGCAAGAGGAGGAGGGGAAGAACGAGGGAGAGTGGGAGGAAGGGGAGGGGGAAGGACGAAGGAAGAGGGAAGATACCACGTTGTGAAGGCGTCCTTGGCGCGCGCGTGGTTCCTGAGCGCCGAAACGCAATTCCAGAATAATTTGTGAGGACGTCGCACGCGAGAGCGCAGTCCTGAGTACATTGTGAGGAAATCTCAGGCGGAAGCGGGGGCCCTGACTAAGTTGCGAGGAAGTCTCAAGCGGGAGCGCCGTTCCTGAGCAAATTGCACGGAAGTCTCAGGCGGGAGCGGGGGTCCTCACTAAATTGCGAGGAAGTCTCAGGCGGGAGCGCCGTTCCTGAGTCAATTGCGCGGAAATGTCAGGCAGGAGCGGGGGTCCTGAGTAAAATTCGAAGAAGTTTCAGGCGGGAGCGCCGTTCCCACGTAAATTGCACGGAAGTCTCAGGCCGGAGCGGGGGTCTTGATTACATCGCGAGGAAGTCTCAGGCGGGAGCGCCTTTCCTGAGTAAATTGCGCGGAAGTCTCAGGCGGGAGCGGGGGTCTTGAGTAAAAATCGAGGAAGTCTCAGGCGGGAGCCGTTGTTGTTGTAGCCCGGGGGGCAGGGGCACAGTTTGAGCAGGAAGACTTTCCTTGAGACAAAACAAGGTGCGAGCCCCTGGGGTGGCACTTCAATCAAAAAAATCAATGTGCACCAGTGGGGGGGGATCAACAATAATTATTCTTCAAGAGTGAGAGTTCAACAACAACAACAACAACAACAATCACTTTACCCGAACGCTCAGTGTTCTCACCAGTGCCAGGGTTTTCATGCGACGCCAGCCAATACCCCCACTTTGTGGGGGGGCAGTGCAAGCTCTACCAAATATCCACACGACTCTTCGCCACCACCCACACCCAGCTTCCCGCCCTATGACGTTCGGACACTTCACTTCGTGGCCTGCGGACGACCGTGGCTACTACACTGGCGTGGAGTACACACCCACAGAAGTTGTTAAGCCTACGTTCGTACACCCACAGAAGTTGTTAAGCCTTGTTAACCCACAGAAGTTGTTAAGCCTTCCACAGAACATCTGTTGCATATGATGCATATGGTACATGATACACATGATACACATGATACGTACTCACAAGATAGTTGCGGTGCTAAAATTCTTAAGAAGCCCAATGGTTTTTGGAGATTTCGGCGTGCGCGCGCGAAGAAAAAACGAATGTGTCCCGCATGGTATTATTTGACAGGGATGATGGCCCTGGCAGGTGCGCAACCGTTGTCGCAGAAGTTCGAAAAAGTTGCTCGCAAAAGCCCGTTTGACAGAAATGTTTAAAAAGTGTTGGTTTTCCTACGAATCCGCAAGAGCGCGCGGGATGAGATTTTGACATTTTTTTGTTGAAAAACCATTGGTTTTTTGATGTTTTTATGTTAAAATCGCTCCGAACACTAAGCTTTTGGAAGGATTTCGTCTTGCGCGCGCGAATGTCCACTTTACCTTATTTTTTGCAAGGGATTCTTGAAATTTGATTATATTAGAACAAGAAATGTCATTTTATAGTGTTTTTTGCAAGGGAAAACGGATTACAACAAAACAACCGGATCTGGATCACATCGTTTTACCTGAGGCTTCCTCACGAAAATGATGAAAATGTAGCTGCGGCCTAGGCGGCGCAGGGGGGGCGTGCACCAGGGGGCCCAACAATAATTATTCTTTAGAAGTAATTATATTCAACAACAACAACAACAACAACAACAACAACAACAACAACAACAACAACAACAACAACAAACATGAGTAAAGACAAACTTTCGGCGGTCCGCGCGGATTTCCAGGATCCGCGCCGGGCACCCCCCCCTCCCTGCGGCGCCTCGGGCGCCGCCCCATGGCGCGCTCCGCGCGCCAGGGAGGGGGGCACGAGCGCGCGGAGCGGAGCGCGCCAGGGGCGGCTCCAGGGGCGGGAGGAGCGGAGCTCCCCCCTCCCTTGAAGGGGCCCCAGGACTTATGTTGTTCCCATCCTACTTAGGGGCTTCATCCCAGAAATAATTTCGAGCACCCGGAAGAGTGTCTCCCAGGGCCCGACACGTTAAAACCCTCGAACTTGGGGGTGTTTTCTTGGTGCTCGAAATTCGTTCTGGCGATCCAAGCTAAAGCAGGTTGGAACATCATAACCCCAGGACGCGCAAATAAATACACAAATGAAAGGATGCCCCATAGTTTCCCGTATCTTCTGGGTTTTCGTCGTCCCCCCCACTTCCCATAGTTTCCCTTATTTTCGGGGGGAATCGTCGATGAGTTGTATCTCTGTGTTGTTGTTCCCTCCTGATCCTTGGCGCGCGGAGCGCGCCAGGGGCTGCGCCCGAGGCGCCGCCAGGGGGGGGGGCCCCAGCGCGGATCCAAGAAAGCCGCGAGGCCTCCCAAAGTTGACGTTCATGTGGTTTTGCGCGTGTTCTTCTATAAAAACGCCCCCCTGAGGCCCCAGGCCCCCCCAGGGCTTCCAGGGGACGAGCACCCCTCGCGAGGCCCAGGGGGCCCGAGGGGGCTCCAGAATGAAGCGAGAAGCTGGGGGCACCGTGGGCCAGGGCTACCTTCAGCAACCCCCGAGGTGGGGGGTGTCGGCGGCACCGCAACGGACCGGGACCATCGAAAACGACTCGGGATGAAGAGCCGGTCCCAGGGAAAGGGTCGGGGCTTCCGGGGAGCGCGCACCGAAAAAATCCGGACGCCGCATGTTTGGGAAGGCCTCGGGCGGCGCGCAGAGGGCCAGTCCCCCCTGGGCCCCTGGGTAGTCCCGGCTGGCCTCGACAGGCCCCCCGACCCACAGATCCGACGTCGTGATTTTTCCAATACGGGGTCCCGGGAGCGAACCTCTTCTGCTAAAAGCTAGGCGGGCTACGCACAGCTTTGATTAGCAGGAGGGGCAAACAAGTACACGGGCACAATCCCAGACATGGTCGCGTCGTGAAGAAATCCGGGCGGGAAGCTTTGGGCCATGTTCGGGTCCGGGGGGCCCTCGCCGGGCCCCGGGAGCGTCAACAAAACGACTCAGGACGAAAAACCGGTCCCGGGGACAGGGTCGGGACTTCCAGGGGCGCCGTCCTGAAAAAATCAGGACGTCGCATGTTTGGGATCAATTCCTGGTCGATCCCCAGGAAAGTAGATGGGGAACGATGGGAAGTGGGCGGGGGAGACGAGGACCGAGAACATATGGGGAACTGGGGGGAGTCTTGGGATCTTTGTGCCTATCTATGTGTGTGTCCCTGGGCCCCACGATCTCTGCGCGCAGGCGACAGGGAAGGCGTTGGGGGGTACGAAATCTGCATGCAGCCAGCCTCGGCCTCTGCCGCCAGGCGCCTTCGGCGATACCTTGGCGCCTGATAAGCCAGCCACGCGAGCCGATTCGCTCGCCCCCCTCTGCCATGCCCCTGAGATCCGACGCTGCAGCAGAAGCTGCAACCCCAGAGATCCGACGCTCCAGAGAAGCTGTCTTCGGCCTCCGGGGGCCCTCGCCGGGCCTCGGGAGCGTCAAAAAACGAGTCGGGACGAAAAACCGGCCCCCACCGGTGGTCCAGATCTCCAGGGCCCACGCACCGAAAACTTGGAGCGGCTGGGTGCCTGGGACATCGCGAAAGATCACGGCTGGAGCCCCGGACCCAATCTTTCTGCTGCATATTGGGCAGGTGGTAATGGGGGGTGGCCCAAATGGAGGGGGGGAAGAAACCCTGACCTTCCAGGAGGGCTAAAAAATAGCACCAGGACGTCGACGTCCTAATTCCTGTCGAGGTTTGAGGCAGTCCAGATAGATCTACAGGTCTGAAGTGCTATTTTTGTTAGCACTCTGGAAGGTCAGGGAAAGGGTCCTCAAGGGCCCTGCAGCCTGTCGGGCCCTTTTGGAGCCAGCTGGTGCCCACATGGGGCCGTCAGGACCCCTCTAATGAGGGTCTTGTTCTTGTTATTATTCTTCTCCTTCTGCTCATTCTTCTTCTTCTTCTTCTTCTTCTTCTTCTTCTTCTTCACCCCCCCTTTGTCCAGGCCTCCCAGATGGGGTCGGAGTAGACGGGGTCGGAGGATCGCGCCGCATCGCCGGTGCATCCGCGATGCGGCTCGACGTGGAGCCCGATTTTCTCCGCGCTGGCGTTGCCGCTGCATCGCCGACGTCGCCAATGCATCCCCGATGCATCGGCAATGTATCCTCGATGCGGCGCGATCCTCCGACCCTATCTAGGGGGACTCCACTTTGGGTCGCCCCCCACTGCCACCCGCCCGAGCACAGATTTGAGCTGGACCGAGAAGGCTCGTCTCTCCGGGCGAGAAGGCCCGGGTGTGGAAGCACTGCCGCGCCCGGCCCCGAGTCGGGACCCCCCTCAAGCAGTGGCGCAGCGTCCCGGCTCGCCTGTAGCCCTACCAGACAATGTTCGAAGAGCCTTTTGCGGCTTCCACGACGTGCTCGTAGAACGCTTCTGGCGGAGCCCGCACCTGTCGGAGCACATCGGGCCTCTGTTCCAAGAGCACTCTGCTTCCGTGATCGGAGCCTTTCTTGGGGGTCCTGAGAACCTGTCGTGGTGGGACTCTTGGGACTGCCGGGACGGCCGGTCCCTGCTCGACCCCCTCCTCGCCCGACCGGGACCTCCCCTCGGAGCCGTCCGAGCAGCCCTCCGCCTCGCTGGACGGGCTCCTCGGCGGCAGGGCCGCCCCGCGGTAGGCGCCCGCCGCCGTCCCCCGGGGGGGGGGGGCCCTCCCGGGGGGCGCCCGCGGGTCGCGGCGCGGCGCTCCTCCGCGCCGGCCGGCCTGCTCGGGGGCCATCGAGGGGAGGGAAGCGGGAGCGAGGGAGGGAGGGAGGGAGGGAGGGGGGGGAAGGGAGGGGGGGGGGGAGGTGGAAGAGGCAGGGAGGAAGGAAGGGAGGGAGGAACGGGGGAGGGGCTAGGGAGGAGGGGGAGGGAGGGAGGGGAGGGAGGGGGGGGGGGGGGGCGAGGGAGGGCAGGGAGGAAGAGGAGGAGGGGAAGAGGAAGAGGAAGGGGGGAGAGCAGGGGAAGGGGAAGGGGGAGCACGGAGGCGAGGGCGGGGTCAGTGAGGAGGAGGAGGATTCGAAAGGAGTTCGTGTGGCCTGGTCAACCCTGCTGCGAGCACGGCAGCAGGGCCGACGAGAGAGGACGGCACTGACCCTCAGGTGAAGTCGGGCTTGTCCCTCTACAGGAGGAATGTTCAAAAATAGTCCAAACTATGCGGACTATTTTCTGACTAGTTGGGAGCATGTTTGGGGTACTTTTAACTGTTCGTCCAAAAAAAAACTGTATGGGGGACACGCCCGACTTGACCCTCAGGCTCATCCTGGGCGACAAGGGCGGCCTCATGAGTTGTAGCCGTGAAGGGCATACCGAAGCAGTAGCTGAGAACGTTTGGCTCCAGCTCCCGCCCGACGATATTGGGCTCCAGCTTCGCCCCCCGCTTCGCACACGAGGCCGTCTACTGAGCTCCCGACGAATCGCAGCCCTGTTGTGCACGACTCTTCCCCGGCGGTGTCGCGCACGAGTTGATCTCAGTATTGTAGTTGGTGACGTCAGCTTTCCACCTTCTCGCAGTGCCACGGCTTGCTGTCACGGCTTGCTTTTCTCGCATTGCCAAGTCCTGTTGCCATTGCCGACCTTCGCACACGAGCTGATCCCAAACTTGTAACTGATGATGGTTGCTCCTGCACTTTCACCTTCTCGCCTTGCAACAGCTTGCTGCCATTGCGCGCCCCACTCGCATTGCCAGCTCCTGCTGCCACTGCCTGCCTTCGCACACGAGCTGATCCCAGAACTGTAACTAGGGTCCGCTCCTGCATGTCGCCCTTCTCGCAGTGCCAAAACTTGCTGCCTCCGCGCGCCTCTCTCGCACTGCCAGCTCCTGCTGCTGCCACTGCGTGCCTCCGCACACAAGCCGATCCCCGCGTTGTGGCTGGTGACGCTCGCTCCTGCACGCTCCTCGCAGTAACAGCGCCTGCTATTGACCACTGCTCGCATTGTCGCCATCGGGCTTCGTCTTCGCCTTCAGCTTCCCGCGCGGAGTCGGTTGTAGCTGATGGCATCGAGCCTGACCGTTTTTTTCTCTCGATGCCTCGAGCACCAGCTTCGCCTCCCGCTCTTTGGCATGAGGAGATTGGTCTCGCTCCAACTTCACCGTGCCCTGATCCCAGCGCTGTAGCTGAAGGCCTACGTTGCGTCGGATGTAGCTGACCTACGTTGCGTCGGATGTAGCTGACGGCGTCGGGTTCTTTCTCGCTCGCACGGGCTGCTCCCAACGGGGTTGCTGATCGTGACCCACCAGCACTTTTCTCGCTGCGCCAGCGTCGGCTGCTACTGCGTGCTCCCTTTCTCGGGCTGCTCCCAGCGTTCCTGCTGATCGTGGCCCACCCACACTTGCCTCACAGCACCAGCGTCTGCTGTCACTGCGCGCCCCCTTTCTCGCACGGCCTGCTCCCAGTGTTGCCACTGAGCGTGGCCCACCCGCACATGTGTCATTCTCGCAAATTGCCACTGCTTGCCTTCTCGCACGGCTTCATCCCTACGCTGCAGGTGATCCTGACCCTGCTTTGCCCGCACTTCCGCCGCGGCGCTTGGGAGGCCGGCGCTGCAGCTCGCCAGGCTGACGAGGGGAGAGGGAAGGAGGAGGATGAGGACGATGAGGGAGAGGAGGGAAGGGTGGAGGGGAGGGCGGGTTCGCTCGCGCCTGTTCTCAGCATTGTAGCTGATGGCGTGGGGCGCCACGCTTCTCGGCGCCGGCTCTCGCGAGCAGGGCCATCTCGAAGCTTGCCCGCGAACACACACCCTTGCGCGCCCCGTGCAGGAGGGGCCGCTCGGGCGCGGAATGGCTCAGGAGGAGGAGTAGGCCGCAGATGAGGAGAAAAAGGAGCAGGAGTCTCAGTGGAAGCAGGAGGGAAGAGGAGGCCTGCATGGGTGCTACTTCTTCCTGGTGCAAAGAGGGGACGACCCCCCCCACGTTTTTGAAGGGCCCCCCTGGCTGGTCGAGGACCCCCGGCAACTAGTCACCGCCCCCCCCCTACACCCGCCCACGCTGGTTCCCCGAGGAACATCGCGTAACGCTTGCACGTCTTGTTTCTGCTGTTGGCTCTTCGTTTCGCTGGAAGTCGTAAGTTCCGCTGTTGTGGTGAGATCCGATTGCTTCTAGTAGGATGTTCGATGTTGCTTCAGATTTGCGTTTGTGTGCCGTTCGATTGCCTATACGTCAGCGTATGTTGTTTGCCTTCGGTTCGGTTGCATCTCGATTCGGGGCTTTTCTTCAGACTGGAGTCGCGCCAGAACGTTCATCAACGTGTGAATCGTCGGTTTCCAGCGGACGTGCTCTGAGGCATTCTGCAATCACGGACCAGTACATGACAGACTCTGAAGGTCAGTTTTCTGTACACGGTTCAGGAAGATGGGCAGATGAACAGGAGAAAGAACAAGCGAAGCAGGAGAGTGCAGGTAGGAAGAGGACAACGAAGACAAGAAGGGAAGACGGGGCCAAGGAGAAGGAGGACGGGAGGTGGTGAAGGAGACCCAGAAGGAGGAAAGTTGGAGGAGGAGTTCGAGGAGGAGGAGAAAAACGACGAGGAGGAAAAGGAGTAGCCATATAAAGATCAGAAAGAGGAGGAGGAGGAAGAGGGAAGAGGAGGAGGAGGAGGAGGAGGAGAAGGAAGAGGATATTGTCGTCAACGACGACGACGAGGAATATGAAATGATGAGCAGGAGGATGAGCAGGAGGAGGAGGGCGCCGAGGACGACTGTTTACTGTCAACAGTGCCCTACCCTGAGGAGGGAACACGTAAAGTAAATGACCATGATGCAGAGGAAGAGGCGGAGGAGAGGGAGGAAGAAGAGGAAGAAGAGGAGGCCGAGGGCGGGAAGGAGGAGGAGGAGGAGGAGGAGGAGGAGGAGGGTGAGGTCTTCCTCCTGCCTCCTCTCCCTCGCTCGAGAGGGGGGCAGGTCGTCGCGCCTCCGCAGAGCCGCGCCTCCTCTCTTGCGTTCTCGCGGAAGCGCGACGGCCAGCCTCTTCGCGCCTGCTCGCGCAACCCTCGGCTAGACATGCAGAGGCTCTCCGCCGAGGAGATTTCTCCGAGGTCGTCGCAGGTTCTCTGGCGTCTCCTGGCTTCGCGGGTTTCTCGGAGGTCCTGCAGCGGCTCCTAGCTGGGAGGAGGAGAGGAGGAGGAGGAGGAGGAGGAGGAGGAGGAGGAGGAGGAGGAGGAGGAGGAGGAGGAGGGCGGAGGGCGGAGGCGGAGGGGGAGGAGGAGGAGGAGGAGGAGGAGGAGGAGGAGGAGGGCTGCAGCCGTGGGCCCCTCCAGCTGCTTTTCCCAGGCGCCCAGACGGCCGCGCGCCTGCTCGCCAGAACCTCGGCTGGACATTTAGACGTTCCCCGCCGAGGCGTAAGGCCGTGGACCCTCTCCAGCTTTTTTCCAAGTCGCACAGACGGCCTCGCAGCTGCTCCTCTCTCTTCTCCTCCTCCTCCTCCTTTCTCCTCCTCCACCTCCACCTCCTCCTCCTCTCCTCCTCCTCCTCCTTCCTCCTCCTCCTCCTCCTCCTCCTCCTCCTCCCCCTCCACCTCCACCTCCTCCTCCTCCTCCTCCTCCTCCTCCTCCTCCACCTCCTCCGCCCTCCTCTGCCCCTGGATACTTGGACCGTCCGCCGAGGGGGGCTCGCCGGGGAGCGTTCCTTCCCCCCGGGGGGCGCGAGAACGGTGCACCCGCGCCGGTCTTGGCCGGGCCCCTCCGGGGCCCAGGATGAAGTCGGGCACGCCCCCCTACAGGAGGAATCTTCAAAATAGTCGAAAACTATCCCGGGAGGGTTTTCCTAGTATTTCTGTTGCCCGATTTTGATAGTTTGTGGGTATTTTCATGTTTCGTCCAAAATCCGCCTGTCGGGGGATGTGCCCGACCTAAGCCCAGGATCAGTGTTCAATCATGCCGTCCTGGCTGAGCCAGGAAGGAGGGCGCATGCACCGATCCTGGGCCCAGGATCAGCCTGGCGACGAGGACCAGTGTAGGGTGTACAGCTGGCGCGCTTCTGATTCCGCCTTTTCCCCCCCAGGATCTAAGTAGCGTTCGTGCTTTCTCTAGACACCCCGCGCAATCTTCACACCTCACCCCCCTCGCCTCCCGCCCTCCTCTCACACTCATCGTCCCCATCCTCACGATCACCATCCCATCATGATCATCGACCTTTTTTCGTTGCTGCCACAACGCATCGTCCAAAGAAACACGCAGCTAGACTGATTTGTCGGTTCTCTATCTAAAACGACCGATGCTTGTAAAGGCAATTCTGCTTAGGAGCGATTGTGACCAGCCACCGCGGGAGGCGCAGCAGGGGTGGTGAGGGGCCCAAGACTCTACCCAGTGGAGGCGGGCAAGCCCAGAGCTCCCTCCGCCCCATCACCCCGGGAACTGGCGAGCGCGTGGTTCTACAGAAAGACATTCGTGCAAGAGCCACGGGATAGGAGAGAGAAGGAGGATGAGGAGGAGGAGGAGGTGGAGGAGGAGAGAGGAGGAGTAGGAAGAGGAGGAGGAGGAGGAGGAGGAGGAGGAGCGTTAAAGACGGACAACACTGTCCCAAACCCCATGCCTGGGAACTAAAACCTTCGAATGAGGCCTTCAGCCATGGGTTAGAGGACAGCTTCGAGTCTAGACATGTTCGTATCCT